TGAGAGGGATGTCCGACTTCTCATTTAGGCCAGATCCTACTGTGTTCGGCCTAAATGGAAAGTTGGATATCCCCTGAGGGGTCCCAGAATGGAGAGGGTGCAGGCTGGGCTGAGGAACACCCCGCTCCTCCTTGTGCACAAATTTTGTGCACAGGGCCTCTAATATATATCTAGCACACTAAATTCATGCACTGGGGGTGGAGGTCCCTCAGCCCAGCCTGCCCCCTCTCATATTTTGGGAGCCCTCAGGGGATGTCCTACTTACAGCTTAGGCTGTAAGCAGGCCTAAACCACAGTCTGGCCTCTCTCTGCTGGAGGTGACTGGGCTGATCAGGGCAAGGCACCCCCCCCCCCCCCCCCCACCCACACACACACACACACTATTGCTGCCACTGCTGGCTATTGTAGCCGTCAAGGTGTTTTAATCAACACAGACTTCAGTCCCTTCACCAAGAAAAAATGACAACTTTCTTTAGGCATTCTCATGATGTGTCTTTCATAGGATATGACATTTCTTTCCTTCTTTCTTTCTTTCTTTCTTTCTTTCTTCCTTTCTTCCTTCCGTCCTTCCTTCCTTCCTTCCTTCCTTCCTTCCTTCCTTCCTTCCTTCCTTCCTTCCTTCCTTCCTTCCTTTCTTTCTTTCTTTCTTTCTTTCTTTCTTTCTTTCTTTCTTTCTTTCTTTCTTTCTTTCTTTCTTTCTTTCTTTTAACATGAGGATATGTTTCCATTAATTTTTAGAGAGAGGGAAAGACAGCAAGAAACATCAGTGTGAGAAGGACACTTTGATTGGTTGCCTCCTGCATCAGCCCTGACCTGGACCCCAGCCAGGGAGGAGCCTGAAACCTAGGTACATTCCCTTGACCAGAATTGAACTCAGACTCTGTGGTCCACAGGCCAAGGCTCTATCCACTGAGCCAAACTGGCTAGGGCAGGATATGACACTTAGCCCCTCCAGCAGCTGACCTTTTTTTTTTTCCTCCGGGAGTGAGGTGGAAAAACCCTAGATCACCTTCTTGGATTCTTATTACCCAAGTGACCAAGAGCACCGTGAGTGGTGGTGTACAGGGAGCTTAGCCAATGAGTGGGCAGAAAAGATGTTTTCTTTGTACTCATGCGCAGAGGACCCCCTGCTCCGGTGTGTGTCAGCTGGGGTGGGGGTGTGCTCCCAGCTGTGCAGTGAAGGCTTGGAGCAGGAACCCCTGTGTGTTGTGTCTCTGCTCCGGCCCACTCGCAGCCTCAGCCTCGTAATGGTCGCTGGGACTGGGGGTAGCATGCAGTCCCCTCTCGCCCATCTGTGCACATAGTTTCTATGAGCTGACCATGAGGCAACCGCCTCCTGAGTTGGTTGTGACACCTTAAGGCATCCCGGCTAATTTGCATAATACCTCTCTCTCTTTCTCTCTGTCTCTCTCTCTCTTAGTGTGAACCTTTTGAGTTCATCTTGCTTAGGACTCTCTGTGCTTCCTGGGCTTATGTGTTTGTTTTTCTTTTCTTTTTTTTTTCTCACCAAGTTAGGGATGTTTTTTGTCATTATTTTTTCAAAAAAGTTTTCAATTTATTGCTGTCTCTCTTCATCTTTTGGCACCCTCATAATGCAAATATTAGTATGCTTGAAGTTGTCCAAAAGGCTCCTTATATTATCTCTATTGTTTTGGATTCCCTTTTCTTTTTGCTCTTCTGATTGGGTGTTTTTTGTTTCCTTATATTCCAAATTACTGGTTTGATTTTCAGTTTTATTGACTCTACTGTTGATTCTCTGTAAATTATTCTTTATTTCAGTTAATTAGCTTTTATTTCTAATTGGTTCTTGTGGGAATTACATTTAGCTCGATTTCAAGTGGTTCTGAATGATGGTTGTTCTGTAGTATAGTTGTAATTTTGATGTTAAACCTGGGTCATTTAGAGAGATGCAAATCAAAACAACAATGCGGTACCATCTCACACCTGTCAGAACGGCCAACATCAACAAATCAACAAATGACAAGCGTTGGCGAGGTTGTGGAGAAAAAGGAACCCTCGTGCACTGCTGTTGGGAATGCAGACTGGTGCAACCACTGTGGAGAACAGTGTAGAGTTTCCTCAAAAAACTGAAAATGGAACTCCCATTTGACCCAGTAATCCCACTCCTAGGAATATATCCCAAGAAACGAGAAACACCAGTCAGAAAGGATATATGCACCCCTATGTTCATAGCAGCACAATCTACAATAGCCAGAATTTGGAAACAGTCTAGAGGTGCCCATCAGCAGATGATTAGATCTACACAATGGAATACTTTGCTGCCATAAAAAAAGAAGGAATTCTCATCATTTGCAGCAACCTGGATGGAATTGGAGAACATCATGCTGAGTGAAATAAGCCAATCAATGAAAGAGAAACACCACATGACCTCACCCATTTATGGATAATAAAGAACATTATAAACTGCCGAACCAAAAGATAGATATAGAGACAGTAAAGCAACAAGCAGACTGTCAAATTACAGCAGGTAGGGTAGGGAGATCTGGGGGAGATAATAGATCAACTGAAGGACTTGTATACATGCATATAAGTACAACCAATGGACATAAAACTCGGGAGGGAGGGTATGTATGGGAGGTGGGGGCAATGTTAAGATATGTACACAGATAATAATTTAATAAAAAAATAAAAAAAATATGTACACAGATAATAATTTAATAAAAAAAATTAAAAAAAACCAAAAAACAAAAACAAAACTTGGGTCATTTAAATACTCTTTTGTAGTTAGCCTTCCAGTGAGTAAGATAGGTATTTAAAAAGAAACAGAAAGTGAACTCCTGGGAAGAGCACATAAAAGGCATATTAGGAGACTAGGACCTTTACAGGAATGGTTGTCAGAGCAGGTTTCTGTAGAAACGACAGCTGGTCGAAACAGGAAGGATGAGATGAAGCTGGCCATGAGACAGAATAGTAGGTGTGGAGTACATTTGCAGGTAGAGGGGAAAGCAAATGCAAAGTATTTAATGTGGGAAAGAACATGGATGTTCAACATACTGAGCAATGTGGCCAGAGCTTCCTGAGTTAGAGGGAGTGTGATGTGAGGTAGGGTTGTAGACAGGCAGGAACCAGATTCTGTCGCCCTTTTTAATGCCATGGTGATAAGAATTACATTTTCTATTAGCTGGAATGGGGGCTTGTTGAAAAATTAGAGAAGACAGATGACCAAACTTGGGTTTTAAGACCGTTTAGTATTATTTTACATATAATTGTCAAAATGTAATTAAAAGTTAAAAAAAATAAGTCCACATTATTTTATGCATAATTTCTAAAATATGACTGGTGGAAATGGTGGTGCTAGATGTTAGTAGCAATTTGGGGCAATAGTATTGGCTTTTAAGATGAATAGTTACTCTCATTGAAGATCTCTTACCCGTCAATCAGTAAGATCTGTTCCATATACATATCTTTGGATAAATTTTCTTGAAAAATGAACTACTATAGCAGAGTTAGGATTCAAAACACTGTCTGTTTCACTTCATTTTACCAAGGTTCAATGCTTTATTGTCCTTTGTAGGGGGGAGGGAGAAGAGCTGAAAATTGAGTGAGGGAAGCAATCTTATAATATGTTTATTGAATAAATGAATGCAAATATTTCTCATGTGGGATACTGGCTAGGAAGACAATACTGTGAAGTAGAATAATCAAATTGAATTTCCCTATAAGGACATTATCCTGGAAAAGAATAGCAGAGTTAGCTTTGATTAGAAGTTAACATTCACTGATTTTATGCTAAACCAGTACCATAAAAACATTAGAAAGCATGCATGCGGATAAGAAAATTAAAACCATGATTATAATATTAACAACCTACCATTTAATCTTAATTTGAGACCCAGGAAAGGAGTTGGGCATGCTTGGTAGATCAGCCTTTGGAGGAAGTATCTGTGCAGGGCAGAGAGGGCCTGAGCTCTGGAGCTGAGAGCAGTAATTGTGAGTAAAGCAAGGTAGAAACAGTCCTTAACGCTTAAGTGTTGCCTGTTTTTATTCGATAACATGAATGAATATATGTTGTTGAGCCCTTTGAATATTACATTACTTTAACTTTTCATTTTAAAGCTTTTGGAGAGCTTAAAGTAAGAGAGCTAACAGTGGACAGCAGAGGATCAGGAAGGATAAAAGGTAGAAATCAGATTAACTGGATGAGAAACAAGGGTCAAAAGTAAGGTCATTGAGACCTGGAGTGGGAAGTGGTTGCAGGAGCCTGGGACAGGGTATAGTCATAGTGTTTAAGAGGAGACAGGTAGAACGCCAGGCCTCTGACTCTAGAATGGTTGGCACAGTCAATCCTGGAGTTTTCTTTTTCTGCAATCATAGCTCCTTGGAGGCCAAAAGACATTAGCCAGCTATGCGCTAGCAAAGCATTGTGAGTTCTGATTTGGGGTTTGGATTGACTGTTGATTTTATGTTAGTTTCATAGAGAAATTATTTTTTGAATAGGCCCCATGGACTGATTTGCCCAATTCTGGAAGCTCAAGCCAACAAGCAAGAGGAGCTAGCCTCTGAGGGCTCTGCCCTGTGCGGCCTCTATTCCAACCTGGAACTCCGAGACAGGGGAGCTTTGGGGACAAGGTGGTCCTGGCCATTCCAGGTGCGGTCTGGGCAAGGGAGTAGGAGAGCAGGGGCCCAGGCCTTCCACGGAGAGATACCTCAAAACCTACTGTAAGGCTTCTGCCTTTGCTCCCACCAAGAAGGCCACCAGCTGCTTTGCCAAGGTCAGGAAGACAGCCAGCTATATGGAGATGCGAGTGGCAGGAGGCCCTGTCTTCCATGGGGCCAGGCAGGTGAGCCACAGACAGGTCCCATGGGTGTAACTGTGGTGCTTGGGGTGCCCTGGTGCAGCGCAGCGGGGAGCAGCAACTGGCTAGTGAAGACCAGGAGGTCTTCAGGCCGGGCCCCTTCAACCCCGACTGTATGACCCTTTGCTTCTTTGGTTACAGTAGGGTTAGATAGGCCTGCACTAAGGAAATAAAGCCTCAAAGGAAAGACAAAACTCTCCTTTGTTCCCAACAGGATGAGCACACAGCACACTTTCCAGGCAGTGGAGTGGCTGAACTGTTTGATCTGCCCCTTTTGGTCAAGCTGTCCATGATCCCAGGAGCAATAATTTATACCATACGACGAAGTTAAGTGAAAAGGTAATTTTCGCCTTCATGTTGGTTGTCTTGCCCATGTCTACTTGGCATGGACTACAAAGACTTTTAGAGTGAGGCGTTACATTATACAAAGTCTATTAAGACAATTCACATTAACATTAACAGAAAAAAAATATCAAACCCAGCTGTAAACCAAGGTATTATTTAGGATTCATGCCAAGCAATTTCATTTATACCAGCTTGCACAGAATCGTGGGTTTTATTCTTATTTCTCTGTTAAGTTTTAGAAGCATATGAATTTTCATTTGTAGCAATACAAGATATACTTACTTAGTGAGATTTTATTTACTTGGAAATAAATATATTTGGTTCAAAGGTGCAAAGTTGTTGGTGCTGACTGGCATTTAATTATGTTGTGATCTTAACAAATTATAACTGTTTACACAACCTTCACTATAGTTATGTTTTGAGAGAAATTCCATCTTATACACAGCAGTGAGGATAAAATGAAATTGAAATGAGTTGACCTGCTTCAGTACTTTATCTTCACTTTATTTTTTCTCCATTTTTTAAATTAAGGTATTATATGTGTAAATATCTTACCATTGCCCCCTCTCCAACTCCCATACATGCCCTCACCCCCCAGTGTTTTGTGTCCATTGGTTATGCTTCACTTTAATGGAAGAAGGCTCTGCCTCCCAGAAGACACTCCATGATTTCCCCCAACCTTCCTATCCAGTCTTACTCCCATCCAGAATCTCAGCTTCCTCTGGTTGGAGTCTTTCATACCTCCTCTCACATATTGAATTTTAAAATTTGTATCTTGATTTTTTTCCTGACTGTAGCACTTGAGATTGTTTGATTTCTTTTATTAGATAAGATCCCAAGAAACAATAACTCTTTAATCCATCATCTTTTATTTTTGAACTAAGTGTTCTTTTTAAAATATTTTATTGATTTTTTACAGAGAGGAAGGGAGAGAGATAGTTAGAAACACTGATGAGAGAGAAACATCGACCAGCTGCCTCTTGTACACCCCCTACTGGGGATGTGCCTGCAACCAAGGTACATGCCCTTGACCGGAATCGAACCTGGGACTCTTCAGTTTGCAGGCCAACGCTCTATCCATTGAGCCAAACCGGTTTCGGCTAATCCGTCATCTTTACTTCTATTATTATTTGGTAAACTTGTTTCCATGCATCTTGAAAAAAGATTTTCCAATCTCTTCATTTTAGATTATTGAGATATAATAGTCATAGTTTAATATTATTTCTTTATACTTTGAATACAGTGCCTTGTGCCTTGACCTGGAAAAGAAAAGGAGGAAATGGAGAACTTAGCATTAGCTTTATCCATTAAAACATATTTTATCCTAGTCTTTTTCATTTCCTCTCTTCCTTTCTTTTCTGGCTCAGGGGCAGAGACTGATGGAGGTGAGTGGAGGAATTGAGTGAGGGTGGATTTTTAGAATAATTCAGATCAGGTGTGTGTGTATGTTTGGGTGTGGGGAGGGGTAGGAATAAGCAATTAGCATTTCACAATCCAAATCTTTCTGTTGCTGGTTTTCCCCGTGTCAAATTCTTCTTGCATGCTTTATTTTGAACAAACATTCCAGTCATTTTCAAACTTTACATTTGTCATCTTTTTAAATCTGTGTTTGCAGCTTTTTCAACCTTCTTATGGTTTTAATCTGACTGATCCTTATTGTCGACTTTTGGACACCCAATATAATAGTCTCCATGACCCACATTTAAGAGCATACCATTCACGTGAAGATGTCCGAAGGAAATTAAAGAAAGGTGGCTACATCACCAGCAATGATGAAGTGGGTTGAAGATTACTTCTTTTTAATCATTGAAGACTTCCAAGACTTGATATAAACTGGCTTCTATACCTCCCTGAAGTGGGGGTGGGAGAGGGGTTTCACTTTTAACTTGGTCATGGGAGATAATGAGAATTATATAAATTACTTAGTATTTTGGGTCAAGGGAAATCAAACAACAGTTGTGTTTCTAAATGATACTACTTCTTCCAACTTTTTTATTTATAATATCAAAATATGATAACTAAATAATTTGAGGATATATTGTAAATTTAATTTTCTGACTGTATCATAGTTCTCTTTCTCTGTCTCCAATGATTTTGTATGCTTGTCAAGGATTATGTCTTATCAAATTTTTAAAAACTCGAGACAAAATAGGAACATGGGTGCTTACTTTGGCAGCACATATACTAAGATAGGAATGATACAGAGTAAGGATGACATGCAAATCCATGATGCCTTCCGTATTTTTTAAAAAGAAAAAAAAATTAGGAACATAGCAATATTAGCCTGATACAATCTTGATAAAACATAAGAATAATTTTGTATTCTAAGTAGAGGCCTGTTGCACAAAGATTTATGCAAGAATGGGCCTACCTTTCCCTGGCTGCTGGCACTGCATTTGCTCTGGCCAGAGCTGCCTTTTCTGCCTTTCCATGCTGCCCAGAGGCCTGGAGCTGCTGGGGCAGTGCAGAATGCCTTTGTCATTGCCATGGCGATGACACACGCATCCCGCCCCACCCCCACCTCCAGGCATATACAATGTGCCTGTATATGCAAATTAACCCACCATATTTGTTGGGTCGTTTTGCATACTTACTCCTGATTGGCTGGTGGGTGTCACAAAGGTACAGTCAATTTGCATATTTCTCTTTTATTAGTGTAGATATGTATTGAATATGTAATTATTATTACACTAGAAGCCCAGTGCAGGAATTCATGCACATTGAAAGGACATTAATTAGAAGAAATATTTTAGAGGCTGAGGAGGGACCATGGGAGTTTGGCTCCAGGGCATGGTGGCCCATCTTGCCAAGTCCTGATTGGTGAGACTCCAGCAGCAAGCTAACTGACTGGTGGGAGTGTCTTCCCTCTGTTGGTCAGTGTGTGTAATAGCAACTGATCAAGTGGTCAACCAATTGGTCAGACACTTAGCATATTAGGTTTTTATATACATAGATTGGTATTTTATTCTACTAACTCCAATTATGTGTACTAAATTCATAAATCATTTAAAAAATAACGAGACTTAGAAATGTCTTGTTGTTTAACAATTGTAGAGAGATACTACTTATAAAATTGTTAGCAATTTATTACTCTTGATACCAAAATGCTATCAAATTGTATATTATTAACATTTTTCCTTCAGAAAGTGATTGCTGTAATTTTTAAATGTTTAAACTTATATTTTTTGTTATTGTTTTGTTTTTTAGATTGTATGTAACTTGGCTGAGTTTAACAAGTATAGGCAATATCTTACAAGTCTGAAATTAGACTTTGAAAGGCACTACTTAAAAGAACAAGTAAGTTAAATAGTTAAATTTGTTTTCTTACATAAGGTTTGGAAAAAAGGTTTACTTGTATAAAAAGTGTTTTCTTATAATACTTTTACGTTTTATGATGACTGACTAATTAAATATTTTTTCCAAATGAAAATTTAGAGCAGGAATAAAGAAGAATTTGAGGTTGATTTATTGGGCCAAGAATGGAAAGGTACCAGTCCATCTATTAATATGCCAGTGGTAGTTGGGTATAATTTAGTAACTAACTTGCTAATCCAAGTGTTTCTTCTGAGTTGGGGCCAATAGGAATAATCTATTGTGGCAGCAAGATTTTTAAACTGGAACCAAAGTAGCAAGAGTAACAGGAGAGGAACAGTGTGAATAATTATAATGTCCTTCAGGTGACTCAAGAACTTGTGCACTGTGTGTATGTACTTATGCACATGCAGCTGTGTTCATCCAGTAAAAAATTATATTAAAGGTAAAGTGAAATGATTAGGAGTAGAGATGGTGGGTATGAATAGTGATTTCTTTTCAATTTTAAAATTTTTATTAAAAAAAAAAGAATAGTTTTATTGATTTTTTTAGAGAGAGAGAGAAGAGAGAAGCATTGATATGAGGGCTCAACATGGAGTGGCTGCCTCTGGTCTGTCCGCTATGGGAACTGAGACTGAAACCCAGACATGTGACATGAGCGGAATGCTTCGACCAGAATGGAATCAACAACCTCTCGGTGCATGGGACAACAGTCAAACAATTGAGCAACACTGGCCAGGCTCCTTTCAATATTTGACTCAAAATTAGTGTGTGTGTGTGTGTGTGTGTGTGTGTGTGTGTGTCTTATGCAAACACATGCCCATGAGTGAATTTGGATTTTAGGGTCAAGAAAGGTATGTGTAAGAATACTTTTACAATTTTATGTTTTACAGTTGAGACAGTGATTTAGAAATGAGAATAACTTACTTTACCTTTAAGTGTCTAGAGTTTCTCTTGTCCTTCTTCCATACTTTCATTTAATTTTTTTTCAGAATTGATGGAAATGTATAATGAGATATTTACTTTTCAGTTTTAGAGAGAGACATTTTTACTTTGGTTCAGTTACTCATGTCTGTAATGGATTCAAATAGATTTAAATGCAGGTAAACATACTTAGTTATTTAGAAAGTACAAGAAGTTTACTAAACAGTAAGTATAAAAAGGTATGTCAAAGGACAATTCATTTCTGTAAATTTAAAAAACATTATATATTTATAAATACACACACATACAGATATATGCATTTATATGATACAGTTTTTAAAATAGGGAATGCTTGCAAAACAAATAAATAAACTACAAGAAGACAATCAACTACGGGGACTTCCTGATGATGCACTGTTCCAAAATTGGTTGTTATGGGAGGAATCTTTTAAGGATCATGAGCCAGGAGAAGTGCCCAGGTAAGATGGAAGTGAATGCATAGTTTATGTATAGATTGTGGCTCAAATAAGTTGGAAAAATGCTAGAAAGAATTGAAGCTAGGAATTTTTAAAAATGTACTAGACACCATTTAATTCCACTATTGATCTAAGTATAGAGAGGAAGGGAGACCAAAAGGTATAGAAATTGGGAACTTGATTGTCAAGGGAAGGAAGAGCAGGATTTCTGTGAGTACAAGAGGTAATCCAGACTGATAACTAAAGGACAAATGTGACCCAAAAGTCTTTCTGTAGTTGCAAATGGAGGAAAACAATCTTTTAGCACCAGTCTTTAGCAGGAGCTTTTTATGAATCATCTTTAAGGGCTGACAACATTAAATTTAAGGAAGTTCATGCAAAGTCAAAAATAGAGGTTTGACTAAACTATATCTAATGCCAATATAGAGCTTCATTGTCCCCAAAAGAAAATGTTAAGCTCTTCAGATATTACCTGCTCATGCTCAACCATTACATTTCATGGTCAAGCCCATGTCTTAGGGATATCATTGGTTTTTCCTCCTCCTCTTTCAGCCTTTATTAAGGTGAGGGATTTGGCTACATAGCCTGACTTTTACATTTTTTGGGTCCATTTTTTTTGTAGTTCCATAGCATATTGACATACCCGAGACCCAGATTATAAATGGAAGGTTTGTTGAAGGCTCTGTAAGTCACAGGGGACCAGGACACATCGTTTTCTTCAGAAATTCAACTTTTTTTTTTTTTTTATAGATTTGAAATTAAATTTTCAGTTATTCTAGTCCTCTTTACAAACTTATATGCACAAGCCCACTGAGTTATGAATAATTACTGTGCAAAATGTTTTTTTTTTTGTTGTTGTTAATCCGCAACCAAGGATATTTTCTTTATTAATTTTCAGAGAGTGGAAGTAAGGGGGGAAAGACGGAGAGAAACATCTATGTGAGAGACATTGATTGGTTGACTCCCATATGAGAGCCAGGGATTGAGCCTGCAACCAAGGCACCTGCTCTTGACTGAAATAGAACCTACGACCCTTCAGTCTGCAAGTTGACACTCTATCCACAGAGCCAAAATGGCTAAGACTGTACAAAAATATTTTGAAGGAACCCGCTCCACATTTTACCATTGTCTTGGCCATAAGAACAGATACTGATGTGATAGAGAGATCTGTATGACAAAGCATGGTGAGAGCTGGCTTACAAATCCATGAATAGAACTGAGAGAAAAACTGAACATTCTTATAGTGTAAGAAACAAGACTGAGTAAGGAGGTTGTCTGAGTGTATCAAAGCAGCTAATGCCACTATAAGGGAAACATGCAATTCACCTTCATTTGCATTTGCACTTTTATTTAGTTATTTGGATATGATAAGTAGGAAGTTAGACCAACATGGACGTACAAGAGAAGAGCAACAACTCCTCTGGTTGGAAAGAGAAAAAAGAAAACAGCAGGAACAAACAAGACGAAAACATATTCTTCGTAAAAAATTTGAAGAGGTGAGAGATACATTTAAAATATTAGGAGAAAAATTGTGCCTAGTGTTTTATCTGAAAATAATTTTAGCTGTCTATAATATTTCTTGAAGTCATTTCAAGTCTAAGTAATTTACCCACATTAATCTTTCTTCAAACTATGATATACAAGTTGTTACATAAAATAATGAGGCTGACACCATAAGTTATAACTGTTCTTAAAGAGTGGATTTTGGAAGTTCCCAGGCACCATTTAACTCCCTGATCACCCTCAGTGTGAGGGGGATACCTTTTAAAATTTAGTGAAAAATAACTATGCCTGCATTCCTAGTAGGAGTGCAGGAAGGAAAGAAGTCCATTCAAAAGCCCTGTATGACTTTCACTACACTTGACCTGGTTTCTGTTAGGCTCTTGACTTCTACTAATTTGCTTGTTGTTGTTGGAAAAATACAAAGGGTTACTGTAAACATTAACCATAGTAACACTGCTTTCCAGGAATGGAAGAGAAAACAGATGTTGCTTCTGACAAAGTCTGCAGAAAGTGTTCGGAGAGAAGTTGGGATAGAGGAACAACGGCGCAGAAATAGAGGAGAAAATTACAAAAAGGTAGATTTAACTTCCTAATCTGGGTTGTTAGAGGAGAAGCTTTTGTTAGCTTGGATTTTTGAAAGTACACTATACAAGATGACAGTGGATTGGGTCCCCTAAATTAGTGGTCGGCAAACTGCGGCTCACGAGCCACATGTGGATCTTTGGCCCCTTGAGTGTGGCTCTTCCACAAAACACCATGGCCTGGGAGAGTATATTTTGAGGAAGTGGCATTAGAAGAAGTTTAAGTTTAAAAAATTTGGCTCTCAAAAGAAATTTCAATCGTTGTACTGCTGATATTTGGCTCTGTTAACTAATGAGTTTGCCGTCCACTGCCCTCAATGATTTATGTTACAATTTGACTATAATATAAAAAGTCCTGCCTTATTATTTGATACTACTGCCCCAGTGCAGGGATTTGTGCACATTGAGAGGAAAATAATTAGAAAGTGGCCGGCGGGACTGGGCCAGATGGGCTGGGCACACCCTGAACCTCCCACGGTACCTCCCTGGCCGGCTGCACCTTCATTATCAGTTTGTGTGAGTTCTTTGTTCTGAGGTGGGTCTCTTGTAGATAGCAAATATATGGGTCATATTTTCTTATCCATTTCAGCATCCCTATCTTTTGATTGGAGCACTCAATCCATTTATGTTTAAGGTTATCATTGATAGGTTAGTCGCCATTTTTATTCTTTATGCCTGTGTTCCTACTTCCCTTTCTATTTCTTCTTTTTACAGCAGTCCCGGTAGCATTTCTTGCTTGGTGGTAATAAACTCCTTTAGTCCCCTTTTGTCTGTGAAGCTCCTGATTTCACCTTCAATTTTGAATGATAGCCTTGCTGGGTATAGTATTCTTGGAGTCAGTCCCTTGCTTTACATCATTGTATATATTTCATTCCATTCTCTTCTTGCTTGATGTGTTTCTGTTGAGAAATAAATTGCTATTCTAATGGGAAATCCCTTGTAGGTAACTTTGTTTCTCTCCGGCAGTCTTTAAGATTCTTACTTTGCTATTGATGTTTCCCCTTTTAATTATGATGTGCCTTGGTGTGGGTCTTTTTACATTCATCTTGTTTAGGACTCTGTGCTTCTTGTAATTGTGTGGCTTTTTTCTTCCCAACATCAGGGAAGTTTTCATTATTTCTTCAAACAGCTTTTATATTCCTTGCTCATCTTACTCTCCTTCTGGAACTCCTATTATATGGATGTTGTTTCATTTTGTGTTGTCCCAAAGTTCCCGTAGGTTCTCCTACTTTTTTTTTTTTTAAATATATTTTATTGATTTTTTTACAGAGTGGAAGGGAGAGAGATAGAGAGTTCGAAACATCAATGAGAGAGTGTCATCGATCAGCTGCCTCTTGCACACCCCCTACTGGGGATATGCCCACAACCAAGGTACATGCCCTTGACCAGAATCAAACCCAGGGCCCTTTAGTCCCCAAGCCGACGCTCTATCCATTGAGCCAAACCGGTCCTGGCAGTTCTCCTACTTTTTAAGTTCTTTCCAGTTGCTACTGTGCTTGGGCGTTTTTTATTTTTTATTTTATTTATTTATTTTATTTTTATGGGAGATTCTTTGTAGGTAACAGTTTGCTTTTCTTTTGCTGCCTTTAAGATTCTCTCATTGTCTTTAATTTTTGCCACTTTAATTATGTTGTATCTGGGTTTGGTCCTGTTGAGGTTCTTCTTAATTGGGGTTCTCTGTGTCTCCTGTAATTATGTGAGTTTTTCCTATACCAGGTTAAGCAAGTTTTCTGCCATTATTTCTTCAAACATGTTCTTTATCCCTTCCTCCCTTTATGCCTTTTCTGGCACACCCTGCTATTCTAATAGTTACGTTTCATGTTGTCCCACAGTTCCCTTAAGTTGTCCTCCTGTTTTTTTAATTGTTTTTTTTTTTTTAATTTTGGTTCTCTGATTGAATGATTATTTTCAACCTTGCCTTCTAATTCACTGATTCTATCCTCATTTCCCCCTAATCTTCTGTGTATTCGTATCAATGTATTTTTCATTTGTGCTATGCAATTTTTAAATTTATTTTCATAGTTACTACGTATTTTCTCACATTGCTGAGCATCTTTACCATCATTATTCTGAACTCTGTTTCAGATAAATTTCCTATCTCCATTTCATTTATTTCTTCTTCTGTAGAATTCTCTTGTTCTTACATTTGGGGGACATGAGATATGTTTCTTTGTTTCTTCATTTTGGCTTCCTGTTTGGGTTTGTGACTATGTATTAGGTAGATCTGCTTTACCTCTCAATCTCTAGTGTAGGACACTGTCAAATGCTGTTTCTGACTAATTAGATCAGGAAAAGATTAAAAGTCTCCAGAGACTGTTTCTGCCTACAGACTGATAGGATACCAAATTGAATTACCCTCAGGTGATTGTCCACAGATGTGAAAAGAGTTTAAAAATTTTTTTAATTAATTAATTAATTAATTTATATATATATATATATATATATATATATATATATATATATATATATATATATATTTTTTTTTTTTTTTTTTAACAAGGTGGGGCAATTGCTTTTGCCTGGAGGCTAATTATTATTTTTAGTCTCTTAAGTGGCTTTAGGAACACTGCACCTTGGGAAAGGTGTTTTCCAATAGGTTGGGTTAACTGTATTCCCCCAGGCAAGGCAAATGTCTGTGTGGGGGAAGATGTCCTCTGCTTCATGAAGAAATGACTCATCCCAGAAAACTGGGGGTGTCTGCCTTCTGAGCTCTAAACCCTGAACCCCCAATCCTGGTTTCTGCTCCCACAACTCCAGTCCATTCTGCCCTCCCCTCTGCTGGAGTACAAGGTGGGTGGCTACCCAGGGAATTTTTGCATTGGCCCTTTAAGAGGGTGCCTGAATTTCCAACTGTGTCTTTCAGGTATACAGCAACCTTGCTGCTTTTAATAAAAAGGTATTACGGGGCACCCTTCTCAGTTCTGGTGCTTTCTTCTGGGGCCCCCCCCGCTTGGGGATTAGATCCCAGAGTTCTCAGTGCCCACCCCCCCTCCAGCTGAGATATCTCTCCAGAATTTCAGTTGCTGTCTGTGGGTCCCTGGCCAGCCCTTTTGCCCCTCTGCCCCTTCTACAGTCTATATGTGGCTCCACTTTTGATCCTTGGGTATCAGGGTTCTCTCCAGTGAGTCTTCCTTTGATTATTCAGGAAGTTTTTCTGTATTTTAGTAGTAATTACAGTTTGTTCCTGGGAGTGTGTCCATGTAGCATTCTCTTACTCTGCTGCCATTTTAAATCCTGTATATGTTTTAATTCTTTTTGTTGAGTTGTACGAGTACTTTATATATTTTGGATACTAACCCCTTATCAGATGCATCATTGGAAAATGTTCTCCATTCAGTAGGTTCCCTTTTCAGTTTGATGGTGGTTTATTTTTCTGTGCAGAAGCTTTTTATTTGGACATAGTCCCATTTGTTTATGTTCTCCTTAGTATCCTTTGCCCTAGTAGATGTATCCACAAATACAATATATTGTTACCTGAGATGTCTGAGAGTTTCCTGCCTATGTTTTCTTCACAGATTTTTATGGTCATGCCTTACATTTAAGTATTTTATCCACGTTGAGTTTCTTCTTATGTATGGTGTAAATTGGTGGTCTAATTTAATCTTTTCGCAAGTGTCTGTCTAGTTTTCCCAGTACCATTTATTGAAGACACTGTCTTTACTCCATTGTATGCTCTTGCCTCTTTTGTCAAATATTTATTCACCATAATGCTATGGGTCAGTTTCTGGGGTCTCTGTTCTGATCCATTGGTCTACATGCCTGTTCTTGTGCCAGTATCAGGTGTTTTGGTTATAATATCACCTCATACCTGTCAGAATGGCCATCATTAAAAAATCAATAAACAACAAGTGCTTGTGAGTATGTGGAGAAAAGGGAACCCTAGTTCACTGCTGGTGGGAATATAAGTTGGCTCAGCCACTATAAAAAGAGTATGGAGTTTCCTCAAAAAATTAAAAAGGGAACATCTGTTTGACCTAGCAATCCCACTTCTAGAAATATATACTAAAAACCCCAAAACACCAATCAGAAATGCATCCTTATGTTCATAGCAGCATTATTTACAATAGCTAAGCTTTGGAACTAGCCCAAAAGCCCATCAGTAGATGAGTGGATAAAGAAAAAAGTGGGATCTAATGAACAAAATGAATTGACCAAATAAGAAGACCTAAATCAGGGAGGCATGGAATAGACTGACATACCTCAATGTGGGGTTGGGAGAACAAAAAGAGATAAACCAAAGAACTTATATATATACTTGAGGCCAGGTGTACAAAATTTGTGCACTGGGGAGAGGATGTCCCTCAGCCCAACCTGCACCCTCTCCAATTGGACAGTCCTATCACAATCCAGGACTGCTGGCTCCCAACTGCTCACCTGCCTGCCTGCCTGCCTGATAGCCCCCTAACCACTTCCCTGCAAGCCTGATCAATACCTAACTGCTCCTCTGCAGGCCTGATTGCTCGCAACTGCCTTCTGCCATCTTGTGACCACATCAGAGAAGCCATCTTATGACCACATGGGGGCAGCCATCTTGTGCGAGGGCGTGATGGTCAATTTGCATATAACCTCTTTATTATATAGGAATTACATAGCCCATAGACATGAGCAATAGGGTAATGAAGACTTAGAGGGGGTCAGGGCTGGAAAGAAGGGAGGAAAGAGGGAATGTGGGAGATATTTCTAAAACGGTCAACAATAAAAACATATTTAAAAAAATCTTTAAAAGATTTTTGCCTTTGCATCTTTGTACAAAATAAGTTGGACCAGTCTACTTTTAAACTCTTTTTTGCTCTTTGACTTATTTGTCTAATTTATTGTCTTGATTATTGTAATTCTTTAAATATGATGTACTAGCCTTTCAAGCTTGTTCTTCATTTTTAGAGTTATTTTGACTATTTTAATATATTATGTTCTTTAACATATCCACATAAATTTTAGAATCTAGTTTGTTAATTTCTATCAAGAAATCTGGCTGAGATTTTTATTGGAATGGT